GGGAAATTCGAGGCCAACTTGAATTCCAACTGGAACATGACAAACATCGTGTTGGTTCGCTTGTATACCTTTGTATATAAAATTTTTCCTTTGACCAGACGAAAAGTAGCCGGCGGTAAAAGTTCAAGTAGCCGGCGGAACTCCGCCGGCCGCCGGCTTATTCTGAAACCCCTGACCTCTGGCTTTTGTTTTTACACTAAATCTTGTAATTTCCTGAAAATACAGTACCTATATACTTCAAAAATACAGGGTTATGGTGATAAATATTTATTGCCGATAGAACTAATGTTACATATATGGTCGAAAAATTCACAACGCTACTATATTTCACAAACTTCGATTTTGTCAGACTGTCGACCTGTGGCATCTATATTTTGCCGATTACATACAATAATATTATGCTTCAAACATGGATGTTGAAATTTATTGCTGATAGTACAGTCTTGCCTTCGAACATTTTATTAAGCAAGGTTGTGCTACGTTCAGTATCTGGATCTGAAATCTAAAGACCTGTTTACACAGTCGGTATGCTCAGTTTAGGTACCCGTGCCATTTTTAATTATGTGCCTAATTACAAAGGCTAGACACAGATAAATTTGGTGCGGGTACCAGTTTTAACAGTGTCGTACCCAAAATTGAGCGTAGTGTAAACGGGGTTTAAATGTGCAAAATTACCTTTTCTCCAGATACTCATAAAAATAGGTAAGCTAAGCGTACATGTATTTGCGCAAAGAGGTTACTGTGAAAAACTGCATTCACATTTTACTGCCCCCTTCTCCCACCTGAATAATGTAGATGGCACGGAAAAATTGAAATCGTTACCTACAATATTATATGATAGCATATTAGATGATTGCATGATTGTTAAGCAGACCTACCCCCCCCCCCCCAGGCCTGCACAACCTCAGTCGAAACAGTTTACAGGTACCTTGCTCCCTGGTCAACTTCGAGAATCATTTTGATCACATCAAAAGTTAATAAAACGTTTCAATAGACAATTCCCATTACAGACTAATTTTAAAACTAGGCCAGGAGATGCAAGTAAATCACCACAGCTACAAAGAGCATACAAAAGTGAGTAAAATTGCAAAGTTTGGTTGCGAAATGTTGCAAAATGCGGAAAATATAGCCTTACAAAGTTTGCAAATTTTGTATACTTTTGATAGCAATTTCCGCACGCAATATTTTCCTCATTTTACAGCATTTCGCGACCAAACATTCCCATTTTACTCATTTTTGTGTGCTCTTTCTAGCTGTGGTGATTTATTTGCATCTCCTTGTCCATAGTTTTAAAATTAGTTTATAATGGAAATTGTCTATTACTTACTAAAAAACTCTTTCAAATTCGAAATACAAAAAAAACCCATGAAAATGCGTTGGCTATGATGCTTGATTCCCATCGTAAAATTTTCAAAAAACGGCCATAATTACAATCCGCACTCATTTCTTGTCAGACAATGAAATAAATAATTTATTTCATGATTGACTAGAAGTTAACAACAGTAATCCAAATAATTACTCGCATCGTAACAATATATCTGCATGCCCAGATAAAAGAAAAAAGGTGCGGACAAAAATGTCCCAAAATATAATAATTTCCTCCAGGGTTATATATTAATGAAGTGAAAAATTTCATTTAATTATCTTAATACTGTTTCATAAATTTGAAATCTAGGACACTGGCAGATTTTTGTTCACTTAATGGAAAACTCTGAAAGCTCAGCCAACACTACAACACCCTATCCTGAAACTCTTGATAGAAAAGGAAACAGTCTTTATCATTTGGTGGCGTCTGGCGAAAGAATGTGGCATCATACAGTTGAAGGAGCAGATCTTCTTAGGAAGTACAAGGTTGACCCAACAACAAGGAACAAAGACGGAAAGACTCCATTAATGATGATACGTCTGAGCAGTGACCCCAGGTATCGCTTGATTGACGAAAGTGTTAAAAGCTTTGCACCAGATAATCCTAAGAAAAAGAAGAAACGCAAAAAGAAAAAGAAAAGCAACGAGAAAATTGCCATGCCGACTCCAAGCAAATGCAAGAAAGATAAAGATAAAGATGTGAACCATGTTATACCAAGCGTCGAGGAAAACCCAGCTCCTTCAGTGCATTGTCCAACCGAGATTGAAAAATTACGTGAAAAGATTTCCCAAGCTATCGAACGTTTGGAAATTAAAAGTGCAAATGAAACGAAACAATCAGAGCGCAGTGAAGTTAAGGAAACGGGTGAAATTGATCAGAATATTGCCACCAATAGCAATGAAACTATTTCTCCTGAAGAGTTGATCGTCAACACGTTGGCAACCGAGGACGAAGTGGTTGAAGATAAAAGACCTCTTCCAGCGCAAAGTTTTAATGTTGATCATGAAGATTATGAAGAGGTAAATGATGATGTGGATGATGATGATGTGTGTGACGACATGCTTGATAATCTAACATGGGAAGTGGAATGCACCTCTGAAGTGTGGAAAAAACTCAAGAACAAAAAGTTACCATGTGACAAGAAGAGGCAAATTGTGAGAATAATCCGACAATTGGCAAATGGACAAATGCGAGGAAGCCGAGCCAAACGATTGGTAATTGCTAAGGAATCAAAAATACGTTTGTTTGAAGCGAAACTTGATAAATCAGCTCGTATTTTATGGGAACGGGCGATCGCTTTCTCCCCTCGTTGCAGCGCCTTATCAGATAACAAAAATGAAAATGGAGGTGGAATTTATACCGAAGTAATTAGAATTTGGGACATTGTATTCGACCATGACACAGTGCCTAGGAAGATCGAGAAAATTGTTCGCTCCTATAATCGTGGTACGAGTTGTTTCATCAAGAAGAATCTTAAAGGGATCCCAGTCGATAGTTCATCAATGTCAAAAAATAATGATCAAGATTGTATACCTAAAATATACGTCACGAGAGAGGATAACGACCAACAGGTTGAGGAAAGTAAAAAACCGTGTAGATCTACTGAATTGTCTAAGATGTTCTTTCCACCTGGAAGCCCGGAAGAAACTGAGTATCACATACTTAAGTTTTACGCATTCTCCAACGCCATGGTTAACGCTATGCTTGATAATCAAACTAAGACAAGTTTTGATTTTCCTTTTCGTGTATCTGAACTGGAACACTCTGTTATTAATCTGGCACCAAAACGAACGACCTCAATTCTCCTGCTTGGACGTAGTGGAACAGGAAAAACAACATGTTGTCTTTATCGTTTGTGGAATAATTATCAAACATATTGGCAGCGGAACACGCTCGATGAACCTAGTATTCCAAATGTTGCACAATTTATTCCACGAGGGACCGATGTAATCCCTGATGCTGAAAGCGAAGAAGAAGGTGGGAATGAAGCGTCCGTGCGTGAAGAAAGAAGTAGTACCTCGTCGCACGATGCCATAGAAGATGATCAAGGCTGCTCAAGCTCTAGTTTACAGCAAAATTCCAGGCCACCAATGGAACAAGGTGCTAACCAAAGCGATGAAATTGAGGATGTACCGGCTGCTGGGAGCGAACAAACTTTAGAACATCTTCATCAAGCATTTATCACAAAGAACGCGGTGTTGTGTAAAGAAGTTCAGAAGAATTTCATCGAGTTAAGTCAGGCATGTTTTACAACACAAAATCATGTTGACAATCAGCAATCCTCGTCAGTTTACAAATTTGATCAACTTGAAGAACAAGCATGGCCTTTGTTTATTTGTTCTCGTGACTGGCTGTTAATGTTAGATGCATCCTTGCCTGGTAAACCGTTCTTCCCGAGAGACGAAGATGGCAAATTGGAAAGATCTGTCAAAGGTTGGGGTGAAGAAGATAACAATCTGCAAGAAATACCAGTAGACTATTCCGAAGATGAAGATGAAGACGATGAAGAAATTGAAAGCAAGCCCACGGCAGATCGCGAGCTTATAGCAGAAGGTGAAGCGGATCTTCGACGGGAAATTACGTATCAAGTGTTCAAGAATGAGCTGTGGCGGAAAATGACAAAGAAAAAGAAAGTGGATTATCATCCTAGTCTTGTGTGGACAGAGATAATATCGTTCATTAAAGGATCTGTCGAAGCACTTCATAGTGACAGTGGTTACATAACGTTGGAAGAATATCAGACCATAGGAAACAAGAGGGCACCAAGTTTTACTGCGGATCGAGAAACTATCTATGAATTGTTTTTGGCTTACCAACGCATTAAACGCCGTGAGGGTATGTTCGATGAAGCCGACGTGGTTCACAACATTTATCATCGCCTCGAACATCACGTCCCAGCATGGTCTATTCACGAGATTTATGTGGATGAGACACAAGACTTCACTCAAGCTGAGCTGTCTGTTATCATTCGTTCATGTCGTAATCCTAATAGATTATTCTTTACTGGAGATACTGCTCAGAGTATTATGAGAGGAATTGCCTTCCGCTTCAGTGATCTCAGATCCCTATTCTACTATATGAAAGAATCTGTTAAATCTGTTGGCCAAGAAGCAGAAGTCGTTGTTCCTGACAGAGTTTACGAACTCACTCACAATTATCGATCTCATGCTGGTATCTTGAACTTAGCTTCAAGTGTCACTGATTTGTTATCTCACTTTTTCCCCGAGTCGTTTGATAAATTGGCGCGTGACCAGGGATTGTTTGAAGGTCCTAAACCAGTCCTTTTGGAGTCGTGTAGTTTCAGTGATCTCGCTGTAATTCTTCGTGGTCACAAGAGGAAAACTTCACCAATAGAATTTGGCGCTCATCAAGTCATTCTTGTTGCTTCTGATGAAGTTCGAGATTCACTTCCTGAAGAACTGAGTCTTGCTCTGGTCATGACCATTTATGAAGCAAAGGGTTTAGAATTTGACGACGTATTGATATACAACTTTTTCAAAGACTCGCAGGTAAGAATGTCAATATGTAAGGTCGTGCATTAATTAATATTCAGATTGAGCAATACTCATGAAGTATTCAGGCTGAGCAATAGTCATTAAATATTCAGAGCGAGCAACAGTCATTATATATTGGGGATGAGCAACAGTCATCAGAGTGTGCAAAGACCAACAACGCGGAAAAACGTCTGCGCATGCCTGTGTACTAGAAAAAATGGCGGGGAATTTAAATGTCAAATTGTAAACAAAAACATGGCCATTTAATTATTTAAGGTAAGTGAAACAAAGAAAAAATACACTAGATGGGTAGTTTAGACATTAATAAAAAGTTTTCTAACATTTAAAATAAAAAAAGAAACATCGTTTTAGACCGGGAGGCGTGTGAACAGTTCTTGAAAAATTGTCGTATACCGAATTTAAGACACAAGAGTTGAGCAAATTATCAAAGAGTTAACCATTTGCACATGCTTAAATTGTAGAGAAAATCATTACCCTTAAACCTAGTCAACGCAAAAATTGTACATGCTACGCAAAAAGTTATTGTGAAAAATGTGGATCATATGAACCTACGAAAAAATCTTTGTATGGTTCAGTTAAAGGGCATGATCAACCACAATGCAATGCGCGCTTTTGTTGACGTAATAGAACGTAACAGAAACGTAAACAAACGTACGCATTGCATTCCCCTTCATGCTCCTTTAATTAATTAAAGAACTTTTTATACAATAAATTTATCGACAGTCACTTTTGGTTCATTTTCTTGCATAATACTACAGTACTTCTTGCACATGTAGACTGTAATCCCCGAGCCGTTCCGGGCGTAAGGCCGGGGCGAGGGTACTAATTCCGCCCGGCTATTTACCATCGGGGGAAGGAAAGCATTAGTGAAGTCTAAATAAAGTTCATCAATGATCGCGGGCGTTGTTGAAGCCATGGCTTTAGAACACCGTATTTGTAATGAAATCACTCTTCAGTTTCACGTTTATTAGTGTGAAGTTTCTTCGAAACTTCACTATACAATTACTTTATGGTTTCCGTGTTTGGATGGCCTGATCCAAACACGCGGGAATGTTGCGAGAGTTAAGAAAAGCGCGCGAAACACGAGCCGAAGGCGAGTGATTTTGCACGCTTTTCTTAACTCGAGCAACATTCCCAAGTGTTTGGATCAGGCCATCCAAACACCGAAACCATAAAGTAATTGTTTTATAAAATAACAACTTTCCGTGTTAAAATTTCACTTTAAAAAACTTTCACTTTAAATTTCCGTGTTTGGATGGCCTGATCCAAACACGGGTTTCGACCAATCAGAGCACGCGTTATATACATGTTATTTTATAAAGTATTGTGATGACTGGGGGAAATTCAAACTTAAAAGTCGTTCAGTCATACAGTAAACTTTCCGGGGGGTGTATACGATATATGTTCGCAGTGATTTATCGTACTTAGTGCTTTGAAGGTTATTTAGGCAATTTCAGTTGTCTTATTTAAATATTCTTTTGCCAAGTTTACAAAAAATTCGAGGAATTGTTGTCGTTATTGTAAATTTTATAACATTCGCTTCTCATGTTGTGTAAAAGGATCTTTACCCCGGAACACCCGATTTTTTCTTTAGCAGCGCAAATGCACATGCGCTATCAAGCCGTAGATCACAATGGCGTGACGATGCTAGGAAGGAGCGAGACAGTGTTGTTTTGAAATGTATAAACATTTCAGATGTGAATATTGAGTAAATCTTCGAGAATCTACGCAATATATAACGCAATTGTTTGGTACCTAACTATTAATGACATAATTAACGATAGAGACATGAAATTATGGAAATCTATCACGGATAATTCGAACCATTGCCCATATGACTTGCTTCCACCAGAAAGAACAAGGCAATTGCGAAACCGTGGACATAATTACATTTTACCACGTATACGCACTGAGCGTTTTAAGAGTAGTTTTGTAAACGGGTGTCTTTTTAAATTTATTTAAAATTGTATCAAATGTATATACTATATAAGAATCGGTCAATGTTGTAAACTCGCACGTTTTGTTGCGCAGTATGACTTTAAATAAAGACTTCTATCTAAATTGATGTTATGCAAGTGCCGATATTATTTAGACGGTATATTCATTTTACAGAGCTAGCAAGGAGCTAGGACAGTGCTTTTTTTCAAGTAGTCTAGGACCTGTATATGAGTTTGTATGCGTTTCATTTAGCACAGGTAATCAAAACTGTTTTAGGGTAAAATGACCATGGCGGTCAACATGGCATATGTGCCAAAAGCTGAATCCGGGACGAAAGTCCTGAAAACGACCCCGCCCTGAAACGGCAGTGTCGACATAGCTCTAACTTCAGAAAACAAAAAGCGATAGTCTTTCTGAAGTGCTTATAGTGTTTAGAAGGGTTGCTTTTAGGGGTGGTCATTGGAAGAAAAAAATTGTCAAAGTATAATATTTTACAAGAAAATGACCATGCACCACCCCAACCGTAAAGGACATTTCAGATTTTATCGAAGCCAGAGCGAGAGTAGCAAACCATCCTATTTTCGGGAAAATATCCAGTGACGGCAGACGGAACGATTCTCCAAACCCAAGAAAGCAACCCTTCAATGTTAAAAACTACGCAACGTTTGGCGAACAAATCCCACCTACAACATTTAACAAGAACGTGAAGTGTCCATCCTGCGATAAGAATCATTGGCTTTCACAATGCGACACGTTCAAGAGGATGAAAGTCGACGATCGATACAAGTTTGTCCGTGCGAAAGGACTTTGTGTTAATTGTTTGGTACCTGGTCACTTCGTGCGGGATTGTCCTAAGAAGAGTTTTGCTAATTATGCATAAAATAACTAATATGCCTGGCAGAAATTAAATATTCTTATTTCCTAAAAAAAATTATCATGGGGTGAAAAACTATGCTTAATTTAATATAAATATTGTTGATATCATAAGGATTGTCATTGTTTTCTTTAAATATAATACATTTTATTTCACTTACCCCCCACGAAAACACGATTTCAGCCATACTTTGCCGTCTTGTTTGCTTTTTATCGCCGAGTCTCGCAAATATCATCCAGTTGTTGTACTTTTACATAATCATAAAGGGCTAAAGAATATTTCAACCAAGTTTCATCAAGTTGTGAGACAGTGCAGTGTATTTTATCTTCGATATTGTGTCCTTCGATATTTCGTCAAATTGCCGCCATGTTAATGGCTCGCCACTTCTCTGCCCGATAAATTCCACTTCTTCGTC